ACCCCTCCCGTGTGACTTCACCCCTCCCGTGTGACTTCACCCCTCCCGTGTGACTCCACCCCTCCCGTGTGACTCCACCCCTCCCGTGTGACTTCCACCCCTATCACGTGACTTCCACCCCTACCGTGTGACTTCACCCCTCCCGTGTGACTTCCACACCTAGGTATTTAGATGAAAAAAAATAATAAATGTCTGTGACCACAGACTTATACCTGGCTGTTCAGGTACTTTAACTGAAAGTGGGAAGAAAGCCTTATCACAGAAAACTGGTTAGCTATAAAGAATCGTTTATAATCACAATGTAAGCAAATATCAAACAATTATGGCCAATAAAAAAAGTCCAAGCTAGAAAAGAGGGCTCAGTAGGCGGCACCTGCCGCCAAATGCGATGACCTGAGTTCAGTTCCCAGGACCCACAGACAGAAGACCCGACACCACAAATTGTCCTCTGACCTCCACGCATTGCTGCAGGAGCATGTGCACGCACACGAACGCACACGCGCGCAAACACACGCGCGCGCACAATAAATACATTTAAAATATGTAAAAAGCAAGGAAGTCAGATACATGTAACTATTCTTCTACGGTGGCAGGAAGACTCTCAGCAGCTGTCTAGGGAGGGGCGGGCGCATCAGATGACATGTAACTAGTCTCTTGGAGGACGGATCCAGCAGGAGGTTTTAAAGGTGGCACAGGAACTTTGGGGCACATTGAATACTTTATTATTTTGGTTTTGATGATGATTCCATAGGTGTACACAGTTAAAATATATTAAATTGTACAATTTTAATGCGTGGTTTGTTAAATGTGTACTGTGTAAATCAAGCCTCAAGAAAGCTCTTTTGGTTTGTGTTTTCTGACAGTCGGATGTAGATCAGGCATCCAACTTACTATGTACCCGAGGATGACCTTGAACTCGTGATCCACTGTGTCTCAATCTCCCCAGTGCTCAGATTACGGGCATCAGTCACTACCCCTGGCTATTTCAAAATATAAAGGAAGACCACGTAATCCAACGACAAACATTCACGACTGCAGCCACCTGACGAAGCCAGTTGGAGGGACTGCGGCTAGAGGGGAGCGTTTCAGGTGAGGGACTGCGGGTAGAGGGGAACGTTTCAGGTGAGGGACTGCGGGTAGAGGGGA